CTAAGTTCATTTATCTATTTGTCTTATTGGTCTTTATCTTTGTGCGTTTTGTTTAACGTGACGACCGATCCTTATGTTTCATATTTTATTCCCTTTATATTATTATATTAATATATATATATATCATGATATTAAAAAAATACAACAAAAAACATAACATTCCTTAAAATACCAATACAAAAACAAACCAAACAAACCAACACACACACACAAGACAACCACACCACACACACACAACACAACACAACACAAAAAGACACACACACAAAACAACAACAAAAGACAAAACAAAAACAAAAGAAGAAAAAATGAATGAAGTCCTGAAATGAAACACTATCTTATGCCTCAGAATCCAGACAAGACGGGAAGGGACATCCAGCGGGGACATTTTTGAGATATACAAGCAGACTGCACGCGCTTGGCCGGAGGAAAATGTAGTGAGGGAAAATTATCACTTACGAGGGGAAAGTTTACGTGCCTCGAGAAGGGAGTAAACGTGACAGGACTTTAATCGCTTTTTTTTTTGGTATTGCTGTTGTTGTTGTTGTTGTTGTTCTTATTACTGCCACTACTACTACTACTACTACTGTTGTTATTATCATTATCATAATTGTTCTTATTATTACTGTTATCATTATTGTGATTATCATAATTATTTTCATTGTTGTTGTTATTTTATTGTTTTCTTTAAGTTACTGCTGTTCTGTTGTCGTCGTTATCATTATCATTTTCATTGTTATAGAAATGACCTTAAGAACATATACATCTGCTTAAGTAGTTGATAATATTGAATGATAAATAGATAGGTTAATTAGTTCAATCAAATCAGTAAATTAAAAAAGCAGAGAAATAAAATTGATTAAGGAATCGGGTATTTTTTTTTGTGTGTGTGTGTTTTTATTGTGTTTTATTAAGTGTTTTATTGTTGCGGTCATGTTGCTGGTATTCCTGTTGTTCTTATCATTATTGCAGTTGTTTTCACGTTGTTGTTGCTGTTGATACAGTTGTTATTATTGTTGCTTTTGTCTTGTTATTATCATTAATGCTGCTGTTCTTTAGTTTATTAAAGTATTCAAAACGTATCTTGATAATCTCGCGTAATGAGCTATAAAGTTTTAATTCCTCGTGTTAAGGCAAAATTATCTTATCAAAAATCACGTTCCTTCATATAACGTCTTTCAAGAATTCTGCTTCGTTGGTAATTAAGGACGTAAAAAAGGAAGTCACGTGACAGAAATGTGTCGTTATTAAGACACGTGTGTTAATTATTATTAATCATTCATTATTCATTATTATGAAAAATTGATATTGATGGGGAGGGGGAGGAAGAGAGAGGAGAGGGAGGGGGAGGGAAGAGAAGAGGAGAGATAGGATAGAATGGAGAGAGAGAGAGAGAGAGAGAGAGAGAGAGAGAGAGAGAGAGAGAGAGAGAGAGAGAGGAATGGAGGTGAGGGAGCGTGAGCGAGGAGAGAGAGAGAGAGACAGAGCAGGCTACTGCACTGAGCACCTAGACTGACTGGCACTGACTGACTAACTGACTGACTGACTGACTGACTGACAAGACAAAGAGAAATAAAAAAAATAACAATACAAAAAAAAAAAAAAAAATAAATACACATTCCTATCAATATTCGCACTCGTATTCCTTTTCCTATAAAGAGACAAAATAATTCATATTAAAGAGGCGTCCCCACACCTGACTCTTCCTAATGGCTTTATACGACAACACGCGAGGGTCAAATGGAGGCCCAATTCCAGAGATATAAACCACACGTCAATACAGATCATCGAATATTAATGGATGGAATACGTTTCCTGGACATCTCCTGCCTGTGTCTGTGGTGTGAGTGTGTGTGTGAGTGGTGTGTGTGTGTGTGTGTGTGTGTGTGTCTCCATGTGTGTGTGTGTGGGTGTGTTGTGTGTGTGTGTGCGTGTAGACTTGTTGGTGTCCGTGTAAGTGTGTGTGTATGTGTGTGTGATGTATTTGTGTGTGTGTGTGTGTGTGTGTGTCCAGTCGTGTGTCAGATATCTCGTGTGGCCACAGATGTAGTTGGTGTGTGTGTGCACATAACCATATATATATAGTAATAAATATATATATATCTAATATATACTATATCATACTCATATATATTATACTTATCATAATTATATCAATAGTAATATAAATGCGTGTATAAAAATTTATAATGTGTGTAGTGATGTGTGCTTGTGTGTGTGTGTATGAATATCATGTGATTTGGACAATGCTAATTAAGTATGTATGACTTACTAAAGAGAATCCCATTATCAGCTTCAAAAAATAGAAGCAACTCTCACGCACAACAATGATGTGACAGACACAGAATTAATAATGCCGAGGAAAAAAGAATTATATATATCCGTTACAACGACCAACCAAGAAAAAAAAAGACCGAAAAAAAACAGGGAAAGAAAAAAAAGAATCACCCAACCACAAAAACACCCACTCAAGTTGCTTCTTCCTTTGATCCTTTATCACTTTCGTGCCTTTACGGGTGAAGAAGAATTAAGAAGTGTAATTAAGAAGTAGTTAGGAAGACCTCGAGGAACTACCCCTGTGAGGAGGGGTGTGAGTTCGAGTCCCCAAGCTGGATCGCGGTTGGCTGCGCAGGAAAGGCATCCGGAGGTGGAATCGAGTCAGTGGTAGCAGGACAATTCTTCTCTGATATCCCGATTGAGCGCTTCATGATTTTTGTCTTGAATATCATCTTAATTATCCTGAAGTTTTGTTGTTTCATAGTAATAATAATGATAAGATAAATAATAACAATAATGATGATGATGATGATGATGATGATGATAATGATAATGATAATGATAATGATAATGATAATGATAATGATAATGATAAAATGATAATGATTAATGATTAATGATAATGATTAATGATAATGATAATGATAATGATAATGATGATAATGAAATGATTAATGTTAATGATAATGATAATTGATAATGATAATGATAATGATAATGATTAATATGATAATGGAGGATGAGGATAGATGAGGATTTGAGGATGAAGAGAGGATGATGATTGATGATTGATGATAAGAACCAATAATATTGAAATTAGTAATTGCTACACTACTACTAATAAAAATACATGGATAAACCAATAACAACAAATGATAATACCAAAAGGAACAATCAGTACAATACACTACTGTAATATAATGTAAATAACAATTATCTTAATGATAAGGATAAAAAGATAATGAAAAATACATGCCCAATAATATAAGTGATGATTTAAAAACATATAATGAATTACAAGAATAACGATAATGATGATATCAATAAAAACAATAGACAAAAACAAAAAAGTAATACACAACAGAGTACAGGAAATTGTAATAATGATAATAAATAGATATTATGATAACTTTGATAATAATACAGAATACAGGATACAGATAATAGGTGTCATTGATATTATTCGAGTGAATATCTGTACTAAAAGCTGGAATGATAATAGGATAAAATGGACAGTATAAAGTTACCTAACCAGTTACTGACATAGTAGTGATGAGTAGCTCACTGAGTGCTTATACAAACTACTAACAATAAAGTGATGATGACAATGTTAAATAATAATTGTAATTAAAGTATAGTGATTATAAGCATAGTGATGCTAAATCAACCAACAGCAATAATAATAATCATAACTGTATACTGGGTAATCGATGAGCCCATGATAACACAACAAAAAAAGTGACTTAAGACAACACTGATTTCATAACATTTATAATAATAACTGAATTCGCATACTTACACATGATAATGATACATTGGCCATAATAATAATAGCATAGTAATTGATAATGATGACAATAACAAAAAATACATGATGCGAGTGTTTTAATGGAAATGAAACTGGGAATAACAATGATGATAATGGTGTTGATAACTATTGTAATAACAATAATTATATAATTACTGCGTACTACTCTAATTAATAACAAGTTGGAACCTAACAATAATGATAGTTTATTTATTATCACTTAGACTATTATCTAATCTAGTCGATTATCATCATTGTTTTGTCTTTTAATTTTTCAATGTAGCATCAGTGATAACCAATCTAGTGCTGCATGCATGATTAGTCAATAACAATAACTAATAGTAATAATAATGATTAAAAATCATTATGGTAATAATGATAATTAATGATAATCATACATATAAAAATAACTAACCTGAATGCATAGAGTGAGGTAGCATCATATGAAATAATTATATCTGTAAACAATCATGGTATTATGATCATTAATATATGATAATACCTCATGATTCATTTATAAAGTGAATAATTTCCTGATAAGGATTATAATACATGATGATAATAGTAAAGTGATAGAGTGACATAATGACAACTAAATAAGTAACTAATCATTTCCGGATCTTGATTATCATCTACTTCATCATTATCACAGTTATACGCAATTTTACTTTAAATAAAAGACAAATTAAATATATGGTATATAAAGTACGATCTGTGGATATTAAGCTCAGCCAATTATACATGGGGTGGTGATTCTTCNTATCACCAATAATAAAGATGATAATACTAATCAAAACAAGAAAACATATATACTATGATTAAAAATAATATAATATTAATAAAATATAACCGATAATCACATAATATGAATAGATAAAGATATTAATATCATAATAATAAAAAATATATATTAGAAATAATAAACAATCAAACATAAGAATAAGAACAACAATTATAATAATAATAATAATAATAATAACAATTGTGATGACAATAATAATAATAATAGTAATAATAACAATAATAATAATAGAACATATTATTCTAAACAATAGTACATAAAAACGAAGCAAAAGAAAGAAAAAGAAAGGAAAATAACAGCATTTGAAACGTAAAAAAAAGTACATCTTTAACATGACTCTCCATCGGTGTTTATGAATATTTAAACAAAATTATGACCAAATATTGTTAGAAA